CAGTTCTAAATCTATGGTGGCTATGAGAAAGGCAAATTCTGTGATCTCAACCACGTGAGTATGACACATTATTGCCGACTTGTGGCCACTTGGCTGAAATTCAGGGGCAGATTTTGGAGAAAGATAAACATGAGAAAAAGAAATCTGTAAAACTAAAGCTTAAAAGCAAATGCTTTTTTATGTAGTTTATCATCAGGATTTTTAGAAGGTAAGTCTATAGACTTTCAAAAGCTTATTATTTCCATCTAATATAACTGGTTATACCTACCAGTACTCATAAATCAAGTCGTTAGGAACAGTAATGCAGACTTTTGTTTGTAAGACAATTGTGTGAAGAGTGGCTCCATTTTAGAATAGAGTTTCAAGATCTAGGGGAAATGTTACTAAACTGCTATATGGATATATAAATATAAAACTTTCTAAATGTTTCTTTCAAGGTTAAATGTAGGTTTTAATAATTTTTTAGAGCACTATCAAAAACACAAAAAGTAAAACATAAAAAAACAATACCATAGTTATTAACATTCAATCTTGTATGAAAATTTAAGGATAACCGAGGTGACTGCTTCCCATATAATGTATCACACTGCCAGAAATTCTGCCTTTTCAGAAGTTAAGTTGGTTTCATATTTCTGAATTAGACAAATTGGTAGTCAATGACACTTTAGTTGGAATTAGTGTGATATGATTGTTTTCTTAAGAATTTAATTAGTAGTTCTATCTAACATGTCTAACTGGAGGTTTTGACTAAAAGAGGAAAATAGATCACAATTTTGTATCATTATTTTCTGGGTTAGATATTCCTAGATAGGATGTTGCATTTTGGGTGTTTGGGTTAACAAAATGGAAGCAAAAGACAAATACAGGGAGTTGATACCAGGGTGTAAGCAAATAATCAAGGAAAAGAAGGTGGATGGATATTAAAGATAAAATTCATTTCTTATTTGCAAGGTTGCCTAAGAATTGCCTTTTATGTCCAGCAATGTCCCTGAAATAATATCCCTTCTCTTTGTGCTCTCTCAAAGTTCTAACTAGGACACTATCTTTAAAAATAATTTCACTTATGTTTAAAAATAAAGGTTCAAAAAATCACTTTTATTAGTAAAGGAAATGACCACTTTGATATAGTAATTTATTGGGTTCTTATTGCTAGTTCAGTGTTCATAATGTAGACCTTAAATCATGTAATACCCCTTCATCAGGATCCATAAAGGTTAAAAAATATCACAAAAAATACAGAAAGAAAGGAAAGCAAATGTATACTTTACACAAGAGCAAGTAAAAGCATTCTTAAACACGCAATCAATCAAAATAAAACACACACAAAACACACACACACACACAAAAAACACCATATTTTATTTGAAAATAAAATAAAGAGGAAAATATCTTCCATATGTCAGGAGAATGCTAAATAGTAAGTAAGTTTGACTTCTGTGGGGATGTCCAGAATAGATAAATGAGAAATCTGTTTCCTCATGGTTGAAACATGCTGGGTCTTCGAGCCTGATTGCCAGAACAATTGGCACCGTCGGCCTTTATAGTCAGCTCAACACCAGAAACATGTTTCTAAGGGAAGCAGATCTCTTCTTATCTTTCAGAACTATGTAGGTACAACTTGGTAGTAATTTTAAAAAATATTGATGCTTGGGTTTCATTTAGACTATTTTAATAGTTTTTTTTTTAAAATGTTGTTCCTTCAATTCAGAAACCTATATATTTCCCTGTAGGTTCTTCATTCATATCATATTCCAGTCATATCCTTGAATTAATAGAGGACTTTATATTTGTAAAAGGAATCAAAAGCTCTTTACAATAGTTATTAGTAATTCAGGAAATTTGGAGGTAATTCCACTGTAAATAAATTTCATAAACTATGCACCAAAAAACAAAAACAAAAAAAAACAACTAAAGTGATTATTTATCACACACTTCAATCCACAGATTTAAGAAATTCATGGGGTAAGCAAACAAATTGTTAATTACAATTTTAAAATATAGTATATCATGCCTTTTTCACTGCCTTAGAAGAAACTTAAATGCTAAATAATAATATCAGAAACTCAGGTTACCTTGGTATCCATTAATTTAACTGCAAAACCTTCATATTTCCATTAATTGTCTGAAATCAGCAAAACACTCAACTTTTTTCTTCAATTTCTGAATTATTATGGGAAAACAATCCAACATTTATTACCTTAAACAATCTGCGAGGGAGAGAGAAGCTTGACATACTTTTAAAGGTGAGTTAGTACAAACTTTGGATTGGGGGATAAATTAAGACAGTCTAGGCAAATATATTGAGAAAAAGAAAACAAAAAATTAAATTAGTGAAATAAAATTTAGTTCTCTTTACTGCAGATGCTAATGTGTTAAGGGACCCTATTCTACAAGAAATTAGTTTGAACTCTTAAAGGTACACTAGTTTTAGAGTTAGTTAATTGTAGTAAAAATCATATAGACAAACTAAAAATTTCCATCTCCCTTGTTTTCAGAGGCCTTTTTTTCCTTTGGAGGAAATAAAAGTAAAGTTTACCCTTTAACTCTATGACGGATCCTTTGGGAAGAGGACCCTGGCCTTTCCTTGAAAGTCTTGCCACTTTCCACTGAAAGGCATATAAAACACAACTTTCTTATTCCTCTACCGGCTAGCTCCAATGGGCCCTATAGGAGGGAAGGAACAAATACACACTGTACCTGGGAGTGAGGGTTTCACCGGTGCTTCCAAGAGAGAAGAAATGAGAGAAAAGAAATGGGAGAGCAGAAGAAAGCACTTCCAATGAACAGGAAGGCTCCCTAGAGCTTGGAACTTAAAAGCACACTGCAAAGTAACGCATTGTTTTCTCCACACATTAAGCATAGATGGGTTTCACCTTCTCAGGCAAACACACACACACACACACACACACACACACACACACACACACACACGCGAGGGCCCAGGAAGACAGTGGAACTTTACCCTGTTCCCAACTTCCACTCGATCCGTGTGCCCCCTCTTCAGCTAGATCTGGGCACGGGGGTGGGGTGAGTGGGGACAAAGTAGGCAGGGGGGAGGGAGGTATTAAAAAAGAAAGAAAGAAAGAAAACCAAACGAAGAAGAAAAGTTATTCAGTACAGCAAGGAGGGGTCTTTGGCTTTCTCATTCAACATCTCTATATATACTTTGGTCCCAGGGGAACTGCAAAGCTTCATCGCCCAGTCTTTAGCGGTTCCAATGGGCTCAGCTGGAAGAGGAGCAAGCCAGTGGGACATGGAAAAAGGAGTCCCTCCAGCGTGCTCCAGTGTTTGGAAGCGCTCCCTCGCCTCTGCTAGTCCTCGCGGGTGCAACTCGGCGCCCTCCAGGGAAGTCCCAGAAGCCGCCAAGTTCAAAGTGAAAGGAGGATGGAAGCACTCTCCCTCCTGGTTCCTCAGGGGGCTCTGGGCCTCAGTCCCCTGCAGGTTCTTCTTACCTTGGACTTATCGGAAACCCCTTGTTGGCGCTTCGGGAGACTTAAAGCCACGGGGGCCGCTCTGGGCCCGGTGCAGGCGCTCCTGTTCTGCACGGAGCCCGCGGAGGCAGGTGTCCCCGGTGTCCCGATGGCTTGTTTTTTGTGAGGCACCGCCGCTCGGTCCTGCTACCGGGCCAGTGTGATCCTCCGGCTCTCGAACTCGGATCAGCCGGCGCCTCGGGGCTCCTCCGAACTCCCCCCAGAACCCGGGCCGCAGCGCCCACCGCTGCTCGGGAGAGGAGGCGCCGAGCCTACAACAGCGCTTCTTGGGAACAAACCGGCTGGAAAGGCTGCGGGATTTCCCAGCCCGGGCCGGACTCCGGGCCTGGAAGGCACAGAGGGGGACAGAGAGGAGGAAGGAGGAGAGAGGAGAAGCGCCACCGCGGTGTCCTCCCGAAGGTGGGCTGTGTGGGTCCCGCCTCTGCGCTGCCGGGTGAGCGCCCGGGGAGCCGTCGGGGAGCGTGAGCCTCTGTGGTCGGCGGCGGAGCCACGCTGAGCGGGGCTCTCCCGGGGCAGAGCCGAGCACCGGTCCGAGGAGACGGCCAGCACGTGGCTCCCGGGCGGCCAGGCAGAGGCCACTGCGAGCCCGCTCCCCTCTGCAGCCTCCACCTCTTCCCTTCCCTTCAGATTGCGGCGGCGTCCGGGCCGGCGGGGGGGGGGGGGCGGGGGGGCAGGAAGGGAGGCGCTCCGCTGGGAACCCGGGCCGCGTGCGGGGAAAGCTTTCCCTGGCTCCACCTGAAAGTGATGGCGTGCTTCCATGGGGGTTCCCGGGGGAAGCCCTTTCCGGGCTGGAGGGAGTGAGGGTAGAGCTCTCGTAGAGAAGCTCCGGGGAGAAAAGCCGAGCCCGCCCCGTGGGGTCCGGCCTGGCACCTAGCCATCTCCCCATCTCCCCACCCCCTTCTCTTTTCTGGTCCAGGCCTTAGTGGTCGGGCTCAGCTTACGGTGCCTACCGGGCTTGCTTTCTATCCTTGTTATACTAACATATGGACATCAGTGAACCCAGCTGATTCTCAAGTGTGCATTTCTTTTCACCTTCCACTGCCAAGAACATCTGCCACCCCATGCCATTGAGGGGAGCTGGTGGCAGGTGGCTAGGACCCCAGGTCAGCAGTCCCGTGTCTCAGATCTGTCCGCCGGGTTGTAACTAAGGGCTTTCCCCACCACCGTCAGGCGCTGGCTGACCCGGTGACAGTGCCCTTGCACCCCAAGGCGGGGCGGTGGGCGGTCAGCTGGTCCCCCCTCTTGGCAGGAGTTGGGAACCCTCTGGAAGTTTGCCTCCCTGCTCCAGGTTTTCCGCTTCATCCCCTCCCCCTGCCTGCAGCGCCCCCGCACTCCCCAGCCCCGGGATTTGCGGGTGCGGCGCCGGCCCTCGGCAGTTGGCGAGGGTCAATCGCCCCGCACCTTCCAGGCTCGGAGGGGCGAGGGCGGCCCCCGCGGGGGGCTCCCCGGGCTCCCGGTCTGGGCGGCGCGGCGGCTCCCGTCACCGCGGGGAGGCCGGGCCGCGGCCGCGCGCCCGCACCGCCTCTCGCTGCAGCGCGGGGAGCGCCGCTCCGGGCGGGGCGGGAGCTGCAGCCGGAACCCGCCGCCGCGGAGAGCCGAGGACCGGGCCGCCACAGCGAGGCTGCAGCGGGGGATCGGGGCTGCCGCCCGGCTCCGGAGCCGCGGACTCGCCGGGGCGCCCGGGCGGCGTGCGGGGCGCTGTGCGCGGCGGCGCGGGCGCGGGGCGGCGGGGAGCGCGAGCAGAGCGGCCGGCATCGGGGGCTCCGTGTGCGTGCGCGCGGGTGTGCCTGTGTGCGTGCGTGTTTCCCTCTCCCCGGAGGACGAGAAGGGCTTCGCAGCTCGCGGTTCTCTTAGGATTCTTGACTTCCCGGAGCTCTGGGCTGGGGGCACAACCCGCCCACGTAATCCGGTTTGTGAGATCGGTTCGCATCTGGAGCAAAAAAGCGCAACCGGACGGGGGTGGGGCAGACACACGGAACCTGGAAATACGCACACGCTCATCCCCGAAAGAAACAATGAACGATCTGGGAAGATTTTCATAACCTTACAGCGGGTCCTTCCATTTTTCCCCCCTGTGGATTCTGGATTTTTCCCCCCTGCCTTTCGAAGTCATCTTGGCATTTATTTTTTTGTGAGCTGCTCTCCAGCTACGTGTGTGTGTGTGTGTGTGTGTGTGTGTGTGTGTGTGTGCCTATCTGATGCATTTGACTGTCTTTTATCCAACTGCCCAGAAGCAAATGTGTTAACTCGGCTTGCCCTCCGGGCTCAGGCTCTCGGAGAGGGCGGAGGACTCTCAGACCCATTTTCCTGCTGGATTCCGGGCGGCTACCTGGCTGGGAACCTATGTGTGTGGATCTTTTTACCCAGATGCTTGGAAAGCGCCGGCATTAACCCGCTTTCGGGTACATCACAAGGTCAACAGAGGGTCCCGCAGCCCTCTTGTTTCTGTGCATCCAGACCTTCCTGTCTTGGCCAGAAGGATATGGACGTTTTGGACCACATCATTTGAAGCCAAAAGTTCAGCCCTTCCTGCTGGTTCTGATTTCTGTGCAAACAAGGTAACAAGGATAGCTTTTAAAACTGCCTAACAAAATCCCCGACTCTTCCTCAACCCTCCCTCGGCTCCCTCCTCCCCGTCAAAATGTCACCAGCTCTTGAATTGTGTGGATTTGGGGTGGAGGAGAACTTGAAGGAAACATGATCTCCCAGCTATGGCAGTGTCAGACCGCTCTCTTTGCCGCCCTTGGTCCGGTGGGCATCCAAGCCGATCGATCGTGAGAAGGGCCTGTCCCCTCCTCGTCGCCCCCTCCCCGTGTTGTGCTGGGTGTGCGTGTGCAAGTGTGAATGTGTGAATGCGAGTGCGCGCGCGCCTCGGTGAGAGTGTGTGTGTGCTTCTGAGCGTGTATGTCTGAGTGTGCGTGAGCGGCCGCCCTGGCTCTGCCCGCTCCCCGGGCGCAGGAACGTGGGTTTCATGGGGCGATCGCAGCGGATTCCCCACCCAGCGCGACCTGCAGGCAGCGGCATCGGCGGCAGAAGCCATCTCTTGGACTCCCTAGGATGCAGGTGCTGAGCTATGGCAAAGGGCAGCCGGAGTGAGGAGAGAGACCCGCGGGGGACTGTGAAAGCCACCTGGAGCCACCTTGCCGGAATCGTACCTGCAGGCAGAAAGTCCTCCTCCTAAGGTCTTCTCCTCTAGAGGCATCAGGTAACAAGCAAAAGACTATTTGCCTCACCCAGTTTCCTTATGATCTTGTTTCTAGTGTCTTATCTGCATTGCAGGCTACTTTACTTATTAATGTTTTGAAAATTATTAACAGCTGGGTATCCAAGGGCGTTCCCTGTTGTTGCAATATAATTCTAGGAGGCGGGCTGTAAATCTGTACCTGAGCACTTAATCTAGCAGTGAAAGCTAAGGGAATATGGGTACAGTCCATGGTAACAGATGTTTTGGGAACCCTGGGCATGTGGAACCTATCTGAAAATGCCAGAGATTAAAATCCGGTGTTTCCTTCGGGTTATGGTTGTCATGGGCCATTTGGTATTCAACCCTTCCCGGATTGTGGAGTGTAAGAGGGTGTTTGGTTTCCACCCATTATTTCAGGCAAGGATAATTTTTTACCCTTCCCTACTCCTGGTGCCTGGTAGATTTTCTTTCCTTATTGTTGAGGAGCTTGCCAGATCCTTTAGTAGTTGTAAATTACACATCTGGAGACTTTAATCCTAAATGGAGTTTTTTTGGAACTTGCTTTGTCTTTGCGTGGAAGGAAATTCATTGTTGTGTGTGTGTGTGTGTGTGTGTGTGTGTGTGTGTGTGTGTGTTGGCATATGGTTTTTAATTGTGAGGGTTGCTTTTAATGTAGCAAAATAGATCCATGAAAGAAGTCGTTTGTATATCTAGAGGAGCCAGGCTAAAACCATAACCACCACCCCAACACCATCCCAGCTGTATTGTCTCAGTTGTGGAGAAGGGCTTGTGTGCAATAGTGTGTGTGTGTGTGTGTGTGTGTGTGTGTGTGAGAGAGAGAGAGAGAGAGAGAGAGAGAGAGAGAGAGAGAGAGAGTGTGTCTGAGAGAGTATGTAGAGTACGGAATTTTGAAAATTCTTGATTTACAAGGAGTGGACTGTATTTGTGACTGCCTAATTAACATATTGGGTCTGAATGTTAAAATGGAGACTCCCATGGCCAGCTGAGGTAGAGCAAATTCAGTGAACTTCCAAAGCACCTTATTTCTCATTCCTTTTTTCCATCACCTCCTTGTCCCCTACAAAAAAAAAAAAAAAAAAAAAAAAATCACTCCCTTCTCGAGGGCATTAGGATTAGCAAGATCGAGCACTTCCAAAGTAGTCTCATCAATATTTTATTGCATAGTGAAGGTGGTCTGAATAATTCAGCCGAGGAGTGCTCCTTAGTCTCCAGCCTTCCAGTGCTGCCTTGATGGCTGCGCCCAGCGGAGGGTTTGGCCAGGCCCAGCACCTGGCGCCCTGCTCCAGGAGACAGCGACTGGGAGGGCTACCAGGGTTTCTCTTTGCTGAAGCCGCTTAGAAAGAAGAGTGTAGGGGCGCTGCCTGCTATTCCTCTTCCAGCTGCATTTTGATAGATATCCATATGATGGCATTTGCAGACTACACGCTGGCCAGGAGCTTGCTCCTCTCACTTGATGTCCTGGACTCCTCTGGAGTCTGGGCTCGGCTGCCGCTGCAGCCCTCGCAGGCTGGTGGTGCTACAAAGCCATGTATGCAGCCGGCTTGGGGGCTGGGCTCCTCCACTGCAGCTGCCAGGCCCTCCTTGACACTTCCTTGGGGCGGGGCAGGAGAGCTCAGCGGGCCCCCAGGCAGACGCTGGCTGGCGCATCTTTGCTGAGGTGGCTCCCTGGATATGAGAAGGAGGTAAAGAGAGGCAAGGAGGGCATTGATGTCCTGCGCCTGCAACCCTCATCCCCTCGTGAATGAAGAACATATTGTAGAATAAACGCTTGCTGCAAAAATGGCTTGGTATTCAAATAGGATTTCTCAGGATTCAAAACATGAAACTAAGTGCTTTTTCCTGTATTCCATTTGTTTCCTACTTCTATGCCCTCTTTATCTTCTGGATGGAATCAGCTAATTTATATAGCTACTTTACCCTCAGTTCGAATACCAAGGGAAAGACTACTACACCCTCTCCTTCACCCCAGGCCCAGAAAAGATGGAGATAGGGCCACTTTAAAGAGAGATTTGCTCTTACCTTCAAGCTCTGGGGAGAACCAAGAAAGGATATAGAGGGTAACTCAGACTTAACAGAAAAGCAGGTCCCCATTCTGCATTCTGAAGACTCAAGGTACTGCCTGCATAAGACTAAAAATTCTTAGGAATTTGGGGGGGTGGGGAGGGAAATAAGTGAAAAAATTTTCTCTTTTAGTGAATTTATTGGTGTTTCTCCCATCACTCAGAAAATCCTAGACAGAAAACTGACTTCTGTATACTAAAAAAATCTGACAAGGACACCTCTTTATCCCCCAAATTTCTCCAGAATATTATTACAACAGAAACTTTGTAATATTTGTTAGCAAATGAGACATACCTGTTTAGAGTGTGCCCATGAAAGAAGGAATGTGGGTGGAGAATATAAGTCCTTGGGAAAATAATGAAATAATCTTTTCCCTCCTCATTTCACTTTTCTTTTTTTTTTCTTTTTTTTTTCCTCTTTTTTTTTTTGCCTTTTCTCACTAAGGAGCAAATGATTTAGTCTGTTGTAGGTCGTCTTGTCCTTCTACCCTCATCCTCAGGGATTTAGGTGAAATGTCATAACCAAAAGCACCTGCTAGCACAGAGTTTCATGTGTAGAAGTTCCTTTAAAAATGGACATTTCTGCCTCTCTCTCATTTTCCTGTGTCTGGAGAGACAGAACTGTGCAAGCCAATTTGGAGGTCTGAGTCCAATGTACTTGTGAAGCATTTGTACTTAGAGCCGACCTGGCTCATTAACAGGTTAAGGCTGACAGGTATTGATAGGAAATTTCTCAGCAAAATCTGCCTTCCTTGTGAGCCCTCTTATGGTGCCTATTAGGAGGGGCAGAGGAATAAGAAAGCCAGGTCACCCATGGGAACCGAGGTGAGCACATAGGCAGGTGGAAAGAAGTTGTCATTTGACTTCTGTCCCCCAGCCCACAAAAAGGGAATGACCTTGAGCAACACCAGTCTTCTGTGTTTCACACATGTCTTTTTCTCCCACAGGCATGTGATATACACATTTATGAACACAGAAACCTCATTTTTGAAATGTGAAATTTCTGTGCTTTATGTGTTTTGGGATGGATTCATCAAGGTATATCTGACAGATACCAGACAAAGGTGATTTTCTTTCTTTTCTTTTCTTTTTTCTCAAGAGGGATGGCAACAGCTCTGATCATTTGAGGGAAAAGTGCACCACCCCCCCCCCCCCCCCTTATTATTTTTGTCTCCTCTGTCATTAAACGTATTCTTAGTGTAAAGCAGTATCTTGTTATGGCATTTTATGTAAATGACCATCATATGTTATATCTGCCTTTTATTTTTCATTAATGATCTTCAGTTCCTTGGTCCAGTTAAACCAGTGCTCTGTTTCCTCTTGCTGCTTGAAGCACTTCTGGCTTCATAGTTTTGCTGAGTTTTCTAGCTGGTGAAATTAGGATCTTGCTTTCTGCAGATACTATTGCTGTGGTGGGATGAGATGCTTACAGATATCAACCAAGGTTACCAAGGTTCCTGCTTCTACATTAAACTACAACATAATAGCTCATAAGTATTCAGTTATGTTAGGAGATATTTACAATAAACATTGCTAATACCTTGTGTGTGTGTGTCTCTGTGTGTGCCAATTTCAGGGTTGGAGGAAACAGGCTACTTGAAAATTTCTAAAGGCTTAACTGGCTAATCTATTCACTAATTCCAATGGTTTTAATTTCCTCTTTACTCAGAAATATTGCCAACATTTTGAGAGTTTTGTGTATGATATAGTCTGCTCTAAATTCCATGTTTCATCAAAGTATAAAGATATAAATTTAGGCTTTTAAACAGATATGATTGTGACCTCCTAGGACAACTGACTAACAAGGAATTTTGCTAAATCATTCCATTGACACATGTGTGTAACTTTGCCTTGTTCAGTACATCTAGAAAATGAGACTACACTATATTTCCACAGCACACATTTTTATTCCTGTGGCATCTTTTAAAAATCTAAGGCAGAATAATTTGTCCATTTCATGGTATGTGTATGGTGAAATTAGGAAGTATAGTGTTTATAGTATTGAAGCTATTCCGGTTAGAGGTAAACCATTTTTGTTATGCTCTAGCAACATAAATTGTATGTAATTATGAAAACCCCAAATTTATATAAGTATAAAAAGAGAGAGATAGAAATATAAGGATTTAATGCAGAGATAGTTAATGCTATATTGAAACTTTTATATCAGAGTGTCCTAATAGATACTGTTCTGATAGAGTGCTACTAACTGAACTATGACATAATTTAATACTAATTACTAAGATGGTTAAGAAGTGATAGAATATTGTAGTAGAATTACATAATTGTATAAATGAAATATAATTTTACTGATATCAACTAAACCATATTAAAAACACTTTATTATTAAAACTACAAACTATTTTTGTAAGATTTTTAGGAAATTTGATTTGATTATTTAATTTACAAACTTGGTCACATTGAGAGGAAAATGTCAATTGATTAATTTGGATCTTCCTCAAAAATATATTTTATGGAAGAAATCTTTTAATAAATTTTATGCTCTTCTTTTCTTTGTGATTGAATATATGTAATTAATTGTTTTAAAACCCTTCCAATGAAATATTTTGAAATTGGTGTTATTATAATCCTTCTGAAGAATAATTGCAGAATTTCCATTCAATAATTCATCAATTTTAGCTTTAGCAAAAAAGGCTCTAAAAGAAGTAATAAGATACATAAAGTTATAGGATTATTTTTTCCTACTCCGGGTGCAGTTCCTTAATTCTTAGAAAAAGAATGAAATAAAACACTAATCAGATCAACATATACTCAATTAGAACCACTATGCTTTTTCAGGGATAAAAGCCAAAGCAGTGTTGTTTAAGTTGCTGTGTTTTCACTTTGTTTGCACATTTCCTTTGAGGAAATGCTGAAGAGCCCAGGGCACACAACAGTTCCTCTTTGGATTCCATTCCCCATATAGACTTCTCATTTCCTGTC